CACCCAACCAGTGGCAATGCGAGACTAAACTCTTTGCACACCAAATGCAAGTTGAATGTGCCCCTTATGTTTTTTTAATTACATTGGTTGGTGCCCGTAAAATTTAACTCTCTTTAGAACTAAATTATAAGAAGTGTATTAATAGAACACACCATGTCTTGGCATCAAACAAATGGCAAGATTGATTGGGCATCAGTGTTCGTAACAAGCAACAAAAAAATGGTTAACATAAAATTGTTCAATTATTTGCTGGGGCAACAGCATAACAAGAGCCCGAATATTAAGAAGTCCGCAATGGAACAAGCAGGAAAAGCCGCATATCCAACTCTCATGTCCTGTTTGGACCGGTTGTATGGTCTGTACATGCATCATCTTTGCTCTTCTGCTTGCTCGATCAATGGAGTGCACTGTTTTAGAAAGATGGCAAAAAAGCATCATTAGCCAAACGAGTTTGAGACTTCGTAATGTGGCTTCAAGGAATTTTGGTACTAACCCTGTACGATTAGTAGCCAACGATGACATGGCAGCCTCCTATGCCAAGTACGAAGATCAGCGGCACAATGGAAGCCCACCAAACAGCCTTGCCGATGGTGAAATGGCGCCCATTGGCGTCACGCGAGCACGCCAACCAATATGCAGCAAGAGTTTCTCCAACTCCTGCGACAAAAATGGCGGCGAGGCCACAGTAATATGCGAGCGGGTGGTGGAGGAAAAGAACACCGCTCGCCGACTTGTACAAGGCCGTTCCAATAGCGATGACCAAGGTCGGGACGCTGATCTTGCATATGTCCCGGGCGAGCTGCTGCGTCCGTTGGTCCATGCTAGCGGACTCCTGGACCTGGTCTGGAGGCATCTGGATGGTGTGGTCGTCGTTGCCGGTGCCCTGTCCAAGTTTAAAAAAAAAAGCTTAGTTATATAGAGGAGAAGAAAACAACAATATGGAAGGAGAGGTCTGGCTGGTGAGCGAGTCTTTTTTTTTATTTTTTTGCTCGTGAGCTCCATGTAGCCTAATTTTTTTTTCATTTTAAAGTTCAAAAAAGTTCTGAAATATACACACCTGCATATAAATGTTTACTACGTTGCTGTAAATTTTCATGTTGAAATATATTTTTATCTGATATGCAGACAAAAAAGTCATTAACTTGTATAGTAAATAGTGTCTGACCTATAAATACATGTTTTTCATTGTGTCCCTCACATAAAAACCTATTTCAACATGAAACTCTGCAGCAATGTAGTATACATCCTTATATATGTGTGTATTTATGTCTGGCGTTTTTTTAAACATAAAAAAAATGAATTTTGAATTGTTCAAAATTCGGGATCCAAGGAGCTGGCTACTTGCCTACGTAGGCTTAAATGGCCGATTTAATAGACCGATCGATTAGCTAGCTTGTTTTTTCCTCAATTTTTTTCTTGCGGGCAATGGTTAGAATTTCAGTAAAACAATGCTAATACTGGACGTAAAAATAGAGAATCGCAAACAAATTTCACCTGCAATTGCAGGACGGAGTTGTTGTTGGCAATCTGTAGTTGTAGGCCGCTCGCCAGCTCATTTGCCACTTGCCCAAAAACCTGCAGCTAGCAGCGAAACCAAAATGATGAATATAGGCGAGTTTCATGACCCGTTTACACCAAAATATATGTCTGATCCTACATATCAACAAACCAAATAGTCCATCACTGTACCCTGCTTCTTGTGAAAAGATAGCGTTGCATTCGATTATTTTTGTCAAAAAAACGGTGCACATTTTTTGCTAATGACGGCACACTTATGATAGTTTTATGCATTTCATCACTCCCTTAAACCTATAGAAAATCGCAAACGAGTGTCACCTGCGCGCCGGAGGTGAAGATGTTGGAGAACCCCACCCCCAATCCCAACCCCGGCCCCGGCGCGGTCGTGAACTGTCCTGCAAATTGCCCAACAACCTGTAGCAACAGAAAGGAAGTTAAGCTACCCCCTACGCAGTGGAGGATATAAAATATATGTTTCTTTTGGACATTGCCTAGCAGATCATTGAAAGAGCACGTACATACATATAAAGCTAGCGTCCGCCACCATGTTATATTACTGGTCTCCGAGCAAATTTAGACCAAAACGTAATGAGTAGCCAGACCAAATCAAGTAAATTGTCCCTTTAACCTAAACAGTGTAAGAATTCCGTTCATCCAAATCCAAACCAAACGAATCCGTCTAGGGAGAACTGCTACTTATGAACTTGGTGTACTGTACCATGTACGTAGCGGGTGAGATTTCATGAAGAAAATATACTCCTACTAGAGCAGAGAAGAGGCTAGGCCAAGAAGACAGGAACTGAGCGGTTGCCCTCAAGTAGCGTTGGCCGTTGGCACAAGCGCGAGGAGCCTGCTTCTCCAACCAAAGGGGCCGGTCGAGCAGCTCGATCGGTGCAGCCATGCTCGCCGTACTGAGTCTACTTCCTTGAGCTGCTCCAGCGAATGAAACGTACGTGGAGGCTGCCAGCCTCGCGCTCCAAGCCGGCAGGCTCGGCCAGCAATGGCTGAGGACGTTGGAGTAGTCGGAGACATAGCTCATCGTTGGCCAGAGCCGGAGGTCACCACGTAGTGCGCCCACCAGATACACGCATGGAAGGCACGGGAAGGAGGATCCGGTGACGGGTCTGCCGGAGAGACAGCCGCCGGAGGGGCAACCCGCCAGCACATACGCACGTTGTTGAAGCCAGCAGCCTTTGTTCTGTGCTACATGACATGCAATCATGTAGTAGACCGCGTGAACGAGAGCGTACCTTATGCCGCGTGCATTCCTAAGGCAGTTTTGATGCGTCCCAACGGGACCCGCTCTATGAAAAGACTAGGGCAAACACGGACCGTGGGGAGGATCGCAAAACAAGATTCACCTGCAGTGGCACAACGGAGATGATGTTGGGGAATTGAGCTAGGCCAATTGTTATGTGACCTGCGATTCGTTGCACAGCCTGCAGCAACATACTAGTATTATTTAAATGAACTAATTAAATGAGAAGAATACTACATATGAGTGCCTCTCTTTGTTGATCGAATCGAGGATGTATGGATATTTCTTTTGGATAGAATTTAGACCTGTGAGATCGTGTCAACGTAGCCGGCCAAGTACCTGGGCAGGACGACTCCGAGGCGATCCTCCTGTTTGAGTCGATAGATTAGTAATAACAAATGGGTCGAATGTAATTGTAACTATGCACATATACACCCCTTGATCAGTGATCACCGAAAGAGTAAGTAGACAGCTCGCGATCGAGTCGCTTCCCCTAATCTCATCAGGACCGAGAGCTGGGAGACGAGCATATGAGCCGCCGGAATAACTTTTGTCGATTGTGTCTCGTCTCGTCGGCGGCTGCCGCGCTGCTCTCCATAGGAGCGGTCACGTGGGTGTGCTGTTCAACGACTTGGCCAGTTGGAGGGCGCGGCCAATGCTCAAGCAGCCTCTAATCACAAATCAAAGTTACAGTAGAAGATTGTCTCCTTAACCCCGAACGGCACAACTTAAAAAATTCCAACCCAAATAAAACAGACCGTCAATTGTGTATAGTCCATTGCGAGGCACGAGATGATCCTAGCTAGGTAGCTAGTATAGTATACTGACTGACTCAATGAAAAAAGAGAAGAGGTGCGATTGACATTCTCCCTGGGCCCAAGTATATGTAATTGGCTACGATCCATCGAAAATATGCAACCATAGATGTTTTGAGTTACCTCGGGAATCACGCTGATGATGTTGTTGTTGTTGTTGTTGTTGTTGTTGTTGTTGTTGTTGTTGTTGTCCGCCATCGCCTTGAAGCTAGCCCACCGTCGCAGTATACCTCTCGCTCCAGCCGGGCAGCCTCTTGGCAGACGCGCTTAGCCGGGGATATGAAATGGGGAAGCAGGTAGCTAGCTAGATGGGCAGCAGCAGCGCGTGTGATTCAGTGGCGTACTGTGTGTTTGCTTGGTCGGAGGAGACGGCCCGGGGACTGCTTATAATTCCCCACCCCACCTTCATGTGGCCTAATAAAATGGGGCAGGGGCAAAGCTCTATGTATCTAAAATAAACTTTTGCAAAAGTTGATGGCATACTCCAGTGGTCAGTGACCCCAACAGGCCTCGTCTTTTCCTCCTTGGGGCACCTTTCTATTTCCTCTGGCGCGGAACCACTCGGCCTGGTCTTTGCGCCATCTACTTTCCTCTCCTCTCCTCCATGTGACCTAGGAGATGACCTGGTGGAGGGGACAGAAGATGCATTTGGTAGCGGCGCCCCTGAAGCCCAAGTTGAGAGCTGCCTTCCGGTCCGCACCGAAAAGTAGAAAAACGAAACAACAAAATGAAAGCTAGGCTAGCTAATAGTGGCATTCGTTCGCCCCATGATAGAGCTAGTGCATTATTGTTGATGCATGATAGGCATGCATGCAGCGCAATCATGCGCACCTCCGTCGTCGCGAGTCGACCTGGCCGAGACCTCCTTGTCTTGCGCCATTCCTTAGTTGACGCGTCCATGAATTCGGAACCGGTGGTAGAGGCTAGTAGTAATTCGTCATAGCTCTAGTTGTAGTACATTCTGAAAGAACGAACCGGCGATCGGCCGATGCGACGCGCTAGTACATTAATTCTGAAAGGGCGCAGCTGACGTTTGATGCTGACGCACCATGGCTTACGTCGGAGTCGCGCTAAGCCCCCTGGCGCCACGCGCCGTTATGTTTTGCACTTCAGTTTGACGCTAGTGATGGGATAGATGCGTCGTCGTATCAAAGCTACATATCAAAGCTTAGTTCGTCCCACTGCACTCTTCCATGACGGGTGTGTTTAAGTCTTAATTTTAGAGCAATGCATGCATGCACTTCTGTGAGACTATGACAGTACGTACGTGTAAGCATTGGGGTAGCTTGCATAGTTTTAACTTGCAACAGCTCATGGACATTTCTCGTTCCAACTTCTTATATCAATGAAAAGATACACAAGTTTTGTGTATTCGCGAAAAAAAGCTCTTGGACATTTTTCATGGAAAAGTGCTATGTTCTGCTCCCTCGAGCATGCCTCGTCTAATCTTAATGGTTCGTGACAAGCTCGATGGCCTTGTGTTCGTTCGGTGCCACTGCCCGGCAAGCTTTGTGAAGAGGCACTAGTAAGGCATCTCCAACATGTGCCTTCAAACAGTCTGCATACATTCGGACCGTGTGGTCTGGACGTGTTTTGCCGTCCAATGCAGTTCCGTATCCGCCCGCTGGCTTGATCAGACGACCTTTTTTCCTGCAAACCGAGAAGCAAACCAAGGGGGCTTTTCGGGCATTCAGGCCGCTGCCAGAGGCATCCGACAACCATGGCCCACCCGAAACCATCTCACTCACCAGTGGAGGTGGAGGTGGAGATGGATGCCAAGAAGGACGCGGTGCCGAAGGAGGAGGACGACAATGACGCGGGCGAGACGGATCCAGCCTTCTGTTGTTGGCTTTGCCATGGCGGAGTTGGAGGTGGCCCAAGTGGAGGAGGCAGTGGAGTACCATGCCATCCTAGACTGCATCCAGGTGGAGGCCAGCAGCCGCTTCCTCCACTAGTGGGAGGCGGAGATCGACGAGATGTTCACCGATCTGGAGCGGGAGGAGGAGGAGCCGGAGTTGCAGCAGGCGACCATCTACCCGAAGCCTAGCAGAAGATTGTTGACATCTCCGACGATGAATAGTGCAGGCTAGCTTAGGTTATCTACGTAGTATGTAGATTTTATTTTGCATGCTTTGTATGGATTTGAAATTTTTAATGTGAGGTAGTTGGATATGGTGAAGGAAATATGAGGGGTGACCCGACACTGCCCGCGGACGCGCCCGTTGCTTCCACGGACATATAGAGTGTCGCATTTGCCAAGTCTAGCTGTAGATATTCTAATAGGCCAGCATACGGCTTTGCACAACGCTTATGCGTTAGTTTTCGGGGAAAGTACCTAGTACTGTATACAACATGGAACGTAAACTTGTACTTTTCCATTTATATTGAGATACTGAAATCTGGAAGGTGAAATTAATTAGCTAATCCTAAATAGTATTGCTACCACTTCTGAGAAAGAGAGAATAAGGTATCAGGTATGCATCAATAACTGAGAGGCGCTGACAG